CACCTACCCCATCCGATCGCGTAGTAGTAGCGGTGCTTGCTGTCCTCGGAGCCGAAGACCTTGATCACCATGCTGTAGAGGTGCAGCCCCTCCACCAGCATCCAGGCGAAGGCGCTCAGGAAGAAGTAGTGCAGGAGCACGGCCAGCACCTGGCACGGGATCTGGGACCGAAGCAGAGGCGCAGGGGAGACCTCGCGGGGGCGTCCCGCTGTGTCCAACTCCCAGCATCCATTTCTGGGGCGCCCCCCGGTCACGTGGCCCGATTTTTTTTCCTGGGAGCCGTGACTCAGGGTTTCTAGCCTGAGCCGGCGGGACGGGGCACGTGACTCACAGGTAACCAATCACCGCACAGCGTGCTCCCTCCTGGGCGCAGTGATTGGCTCAGGAGGGCGTGGGAATCAGACCCGGCCAATCAGCATAATGCAACAGGATTGGCTCAGGGCGGGCACGTGATCCGCCTGGTCCAGGGTGGGCGGAGCCACCGGGGAGCGAGGTTTCCCTCCTCCCTCCAAAAGTGAGGACAGGAGCCTGAGCTGCGGGGGCCCCTCTGGCCCCTCAAGGGAGGCCCGTGGGAAGGGGGTTCAGAGACGGTAGGCCCGTGGCTGGTCACACCCCGAGATCTGGGGTTTCAGTGTGTCCACCGCAAGGCGTGCTTTAGCCACAGAAGCCTCTCCCTTTCCCGGGGGACACGGCCTGGCTTTCTGGGGGTACGTCTGCATTCTGAGCTGGAGAAGGGGCCCCTGGGGACACCGAGGGGGGCAGAGGCCCGAACTCACGGTGCCCGGCTGGCAGTGGAAGCTGATGAGCAGCAGGACCTGGGCCACCAGGACGGCGAAGGACAGGTTGGCGTGGATGTGGTAGCGCTGGTTCCGGATGGTGCTGACCGAGCTGGGCACAGAGCGCGGGGTGAGGCCCGGGCCCAGGGCTGGCGGCGCCCCAGTCCCGCAGGGGCCCAGACGGGCCCCGAGGAAGCTGCCCAGCTGCTGTCACTCCTGGCTGTGGACCCTCGAGGGCGCCCTGCCTGGCCTGAGCCCCTTAAGGTTCCCAGACACCCAGCCCGCTCCAGCCTCTGGGCCTCCGCGCCCGCTGTTCCTCGGAGGTCAGCTCCCTTCCCGGGGCTCTGGGTGGCCTGAGAAGGAGCTCCACGTCCTCGCCCTGTAACTGCCACCTCCTGGCACCGACAGCTGGGAAACGTGTCTGTGCCTTTGTGTTCTAGTCATGGCCCAGCCCCACCCAGACACATCTGTCTGTCTCTGGCAGGCCGAGTCCTCAGAGCCGACCACGCCTGGGGTGGGGTGGGCTGGGGGGCAGGCTGTGCTGAGCAAGTGGCTGAGGAGCCAGGGGACCAGAGACCGGATGTCTTGGCACAGGGTGGGGTCCCCCTGCCTGGCTCGGAACCTCCTCACGTGTCCCCTCTACGCCCGACTGCCTCAAAGCTCCCAACCAACCAATCCAGATCCTGGGGTCACAGAACCACCCAGGTGAGGGGGGTGGGGGGCTCCCAGAGGACCCCCATGAGCAGCCCCAGAGGGAGGGGGCCCACCAGGTGTGCATAACACACAAGGGCCCCGGGGAGCGCGGCTTCACTGCTGTCCACCCGGACACACACATCTCCCACTTGATTTTTCCGTCCCCACGAGTTGCGGCCAGTTTGGTCATTGCAAGGGGCGGGGGAGTCCTCAGTTCTGGCTCTCACCTGGCCAGTCACCTGTGGGACTGTTCCAGAACTTTCCAGCTTAGCTAAAGCCGGTGCCCTCCAGTTCCACAGCCCCTCCAGTCTCTCCTCTCTGTTTCAGGCACCCCATGGTCCCTTCCCTGCACCCCAGATCTCAAAATTAGAAGTGATGGAGGAGCAGGCACCCAGTTGTGACATTCAGGGTCCAGGTGTTCACCAGCTCACGCGTGCAAATGCCAGTGGGGAGATCGAGGGGGCAGGGGGGCATTCATGTCCACGCAAAGCCACCAAGCATCCCCGGGGGACCAGGAGGCTGGCAGAAGGGACTCACGAGAGCATGGCGAAGGTGACCAGCGTGATCGCCAGGCAGAGCACGGACAGGGAGCAGCCGATGTAGCTGATGGACGACAGCGCCACCTGGTGTCCGTGTGTGAGCTGTGTGGGAAGCAGAGCCCGGGTCAGCCCCCTGGGTTTGGATGGGGACTGGCCCTGTGGTTAGCGAGGCCGGAGCCCAGTGGGCGGTTTGGCCTGGATGATGCACAGCTGGACATTGGGCAGCCACTGTCCCATTGTGAGTATGTGGAGACCTCTAAGTCGTGCCTTTCCCCCAAATGTCCTGTTGTTGCCACAGATAGAAGTCTGGTCCTTTAGGGTCAGCCCTTGGCCGGGTCCTGTCACCGGGGGTCAGAGTGGAAGTGGCCTTGAGGGGTCGGAGGTGGGTGGGTGGGTCCAGCCTCAGGAGGCGTCTGTGCCCCAGCAGTGGCCTTCCTTTCCTAGCCCACGGCTGCGTTTAGAAATGCCCAGAAAAGCCCGGGTTTGCTTCAGGACACGGTTCCTCTGAGTCAGAGACCACAAGCTCCAGTGCCTCCCGACAGGAATTTAATGTGAACTGGGAGGCTGGCTGGGAGTGTGTAGACACATAAACAAGAGGAACTGTCTGTCCAGAAAGAAGTGTCTATATCTTCCATTGTTTTCACAGAAGTCCCCTTTAGTGAACATGGTTCCTACCCCAGAAGGGCCAGGAGGCACTTTGTTGCCTTCCTAAAAGCAGAACCACAGTGCACAGCGACAGTGTGACTGCCACCTCCAGTGTGAGGAAGGCGGTAGGGAGTGGTGGGGCCTGCGGCGACCTTCATCCCACAGTCCCGCCTACAGGGGGCAGTAGATGCTCAGTCAGAAGAGGAAGCCCTCTTTATTATTATTATTATTACTTTTTAAAGAAAACCAGAAATTCAAAATTACAGACAATATATCTGAGTTTTGAAATATTGACAATTTTTGTAAACCTCTGTGGATTACATGAAATGTCCCTTGGCCAAGGTTGGCCGCCAGACCCCAGTGTGTGACTGTCTTATGGAACTGCTTCCCTGTGGCCACCTGCTCTGCACCTGGGGCCTGGGGACCGGCTTCCCCAGGTGCACCTGTCCCAGCAAAGGGCTCCTGCTACTGGGACAGTCGCCGGGCCCAGGCTGCCCCCACTGAGCCCACTGGAGCATCCGAGGGTGGGCGAGGGGGCTGCATGGGCCTGGCCATGAGTAGGGGGTCAGCCACCTGGAGAGAGGGCGGCCACACTGTGTGGCCTCTGGGGCTCCCACCCACTCAGGGGCCTTGCCCACCACCACCTTCCTTTGGTGCCACCCTTGCTGGGACCATCCATCACCCCCCAAAACCCCCCAACTTGCCCTTTCACATAAAAATACCTTGGAAATCCCTCCAAGTCCGTTGGCATAATTATAATTCATTCTTTAATAAGTGCGTTTTGCCCTGGCCGGGTGGCTCACTTGGTTGGAGCATCATCCCAGACACCGAAAGATTGCAGGTTCAATTTCTGGTCGGGACACATACCCAGGTTGTGGGTTCGATCCCCAGTGGGGGCAGGTATGGGAGGCAACCGACGGATGTTGCTCACAGTGATGTTCTCTCTCCCTTCCTCTCTCTCCAAGGCTCCTCCACTTTCTCCTCTTACCTACAGTCTTGCTTCCCGACTCCTTCAGTTCTGTGACACAGACTCTCACAGGGCTATCAGTACGTGACAAGCTGTCTGGATTGTTTGTCCGGGTCACCTACCCTCCTGTCCCCACACCTGGGGGCGGAGCTCAGGGAGACCCGGGCTCCAGGTCAGGGGGCTCAGCCACCCCTTCTGTCTTCATTAATTCTCTGAATACTCCACGACTTGGTATCGACTGTGACAACTGCCTTCATTTTAACTCTCACGAGGAGGCTCGTTTTTAGCATGGATAATTTTAAACCATTTTCAAACCGACCTTTCCTGGCAATGAGCAGATAGGATTTGCTTCTATGAAGACACCCACAGATGGTCTAAATCTGTCGCCTGCACCGAGTGGTGACAGACTGGCAATCATCAGTGGTCGTGCTCGGGGTTTTTTAAGCTTATTGGAGGGGCTGCCTCCCTTCCTCCCCTCTCTCTGTCCCCGCCCAGCAGATCTGCCTCCCTCACAGGGGAGACCAGGCAGGTTCCAGCTCTCAGCCTAAGAGACCTGGAGGAGGCTCTGTTCACGGCGGCCTGAGCTTCGTGTTTGTGGCCAGGCTCTGCCCCCTGGGTGACCTGGGGTGACCCTCGTCTGTGATTGTGAGGATGGCAGCCTCTCACTCACGTGGGAGGAGCTGCTCCCCAGATGACACCCTTTGAAGAAAACACTCCCACAGGGGTGGTTTGGGGGCCACATCTGCCTGAACCAAGATGTGCCACTAAGGGCGCTGCGTGAACTGGGGACATGCACCCCAATAGCCTGATTCGAGGCCCACCCTTCCAAAACTCTTGACAGCCTGAAGGACACGGTGGGGCTGACCATGAACCCAGCAGGAGCACCCATTGGTGATATATTCTGACACAGAGAAGGGAGGGGTCTCCTCCATCCTTAGCCTGAGGTCTATAGGGGGCTGCCCGAGGACACCTGGGGGACCGGGGTCTGCATGGGGGCTGTCCGAGGACACCTGAAGCCAAGATTTTATTTTGCCAAAGAAGCAGAGCCTCAGAGATGCCCCTGACAAGGGTCTCCCTGACCAGCAGCCTCCCATCCGTCCCCAAGGCTGACAGCTCCCCTGGGCGCTGCCTAGTAGGATGTACCACCCTGGCCCTGCATCAGCCACATGCAGGAAGGGCACCTCCTTGGGGCTGGGGCCCTTACCTCCAGCGGGACCACCTGCATGAGGATGGCGAAGTTGGTGAGGTGAGTGCAGCGGCAGACGGAGTAGCCCAGATTCCCTTCTACGAGGACGCAGCCCTCGTTTGACCAGACGCCTTCTCCGGAGCTGCGGACACACGGGCGAGATGATCAGTGGGAGGCAGGACCCACCTGGCCGCGGGCAGAGCGAGCAGAATATGGCGCTGTCCGTGAGGCCACGGGGACGCGAGAGCTCCTTCCCGGAGAGGGAAGTCGCGTAGCACCTGGGCTGAGGTCCATTAATGAAATGCCACGGCCCAGCCTCCCCTCCAGGGCATCTCCGAGCACCACACACAGGGACGTGTGGGCACTTAGTGATGGGGACACCTGAGGGCTGAGAGTAACCCAGTATCCACCTGGGGACTGGCTGCATAAAAGGCGGGACACACAAATGTGACAGGATGGGACCAGCAGGGCTGGAACACAAAACATCGTGTCTCATGTCTAATGCATGAAACAAAAGATTGTGTTTTCTGTGACCAGAACCATAAATTCTGTGTATATTATTATTATTATTCCTTACCTGAGGATATTTTTTCCATTTTTTTTTTTTTTTTT